CATGTGCAGAGCATTCCCAACCACCTTGAAGGGATCCGCTCGACTATAGTTCGCCAAGCTCTACCTAGCCTCCATTGGCTCATTTGCTGAGCTGAGCAGGTCCTTTGTGTTGCACTTCATTGGAGGACGCCACCACCAGAAGCCTTTCATGTATCTGCTTAGCATAAAGCAGGATCGAGATGAAAGCCTAAGGAGCTACCTCCTCACTCGTTTTAGCGAGGAGGTTCTTCAGGTCGAGGAGCCCGATGATACGGTCAGCATAACCGCTTCCTGGAGACCTCCGGTCATCAAGTTTCCTCTTTTCGGTAATGAAGCAACCACCAAAGAGCATGTCAGAATTATTGGTCAAAGCTCAAAAATATATGAATGCTGAGGAAATCAACAAGTCCAGGTGAGGTGAATCAAAAGCTTGACCTAGCTCTGCTCTTCTATCAAGCAGACAGCCAATGTCTCCAGCTTAGCGGCTCTCTCGCGGATCGCCAAAAGCTTGGCCTTTTTACTGTTCTCAAACAGATAACATATATATATCCAGCTTAGTGGCTCTCTCGCGGGTCGCCAAAAGCTTGGCCTCTGCATTGTTCTCAAACAAACAGCCTATATCTCCAACTGAGCGGCTCTCTCGCGAGTTGTCAAAAGCTTGGTCTCTGCACTGTTCTCAAACAGACAGCCTATATCTTCAATTGAGCGGCTCTCTCACGGGTCACCAAAAGCTTGGCCTCTACTTTGCTCTCAAGTAAGCAGCCTATACCTCAAGCTTAAGGACTCGCTCATGGGTCGCCAAAAGTTCGGTATCAAAAGGTATAGCTCTCTAAGAAGCAATCCTCAAACTCTATCCTTGCTCTCGCGCAAGCAACCTATCTCTTTCTCCAGGTAATTATGTTAGATATTTTAATGTTTGGAATAACATTATATTTGTCATCTATAGGCATACTTTTGAAACTCAAGTTGTCTGGGACTACATTAGATTGAATGTCAACAATCAAGCCTCAACCTTTTTATGCCCATCCGGCATTGCCGCCTCGTTGCCAAAACTCTCCAGCACTTAACACCTTGTGTCAACACCTCGCCAGGCTCACCCAGTGTAGCAGCCTTTCCTGCGCGCGCAGCCAGCGTAGCACAGCAGCCTTCCTGCGCGCCCAACCAGCGTAGTAGCCCCTCCTGCACAACGCAACCACTCTCCTGCGCGCACGACCAATTCGCCTAGCAACACCGCTGCATGAATCACCTCCCGACGCCCAAGCATTGGCGCCCACCATGCCATCTCGCTCAATGGAGCTCACCCACTGGGCAGTAGAGCTCGCCTATGGAGACCTCTACCTAGTGGAGCTCACCCAAGGGAGCTTGCCAGGTCCTAGGCTCGCCCAAGGTAAATCCCCCTAAGTAGAGCTCACCCATGGAGACCTCTACCAATGGAGCTCGCTAGGTCCAAGGCTCACTTCTAAAAAAAAACCCCAAATTACAACCTATGCTCTTCAAGAATCCAAAAAAAGAAAAGGAATAAGGAAGTTTATATAGTCAATGAAGTCCTACAAGCAAAAGGAGTCTACTAGAAGGGAGGAGGTTGCCGATCAAGAGGAGTTTTCAAAAAATTCGGATTTAAAAATGGTTGCACGTTATTTTGACCGTAACTTTTGATCCAAAACTCCAAACGGGGCTAATTATATATCAAATCGAAACTCTCGACAAGCCCTATAAGACATTAAAGCCTATGGTTGTAACTGATGCTGTAAAAAGTCCAAAAAATGACCAAAAATAGATGTTTTGGCTTCCTGAAGTTTTAAAAAAAAAAATTTATGCTCGCCTAGAACAGTGTCTTGCTCTCCCGGAAAGCTACGTGCTCACCCAAACCCCTCACCTAACTCTCTACTCGAAGTTTTGACCGTAATTTTTGCTCCGTTACTCCAAATGAGGCTTATAATATATCAAATCGAAGCTTTAAGCGAGCCCTACAAGAGGCACACCCTATGGCTGTGATGGATGCTATTAAAGGTGCAAAAAAGACCTATAAACAGATGTTTTGGCCTCCCAAAGTTTTTCCAGTTGTGCCAGTCACCGAAAATTCATACTCAAACTGAATGTCCTCCTTTCAAAGTTCTGTTAGACGCAGGGCATTGGAGGGCAAATAATGGGCCAAGCCCAAGGGCCTAGCTCAAATTATAAAGCCCAGTTCGAGTTTATAGCCCATCTCCAAGAAATTCAGCAAGTCCAGCTCAATGCAGTCGACCCAGACAAGCTCATCTAGAATCAAGGAACAACATCAGCAGAGAGTATGCAAGGTCATCAAAGAGTCTCCTCTACCACCTTGAAATAAGGGTCATTCAAGAGCCTTCTCTATGCTACTAAGGAAGCATCTAGGAGTCTCACCCTTGCCGGTTGGAGTGAGTCAACCTTCTCTCATCCTTTGACCAAGTCTTTTGGAGAGCATCATAATTTCCTTGCTCGTTAAGGAGAGGAGAGGTCGTCAAGCTATTTAATCACTGTTAAAGTCACCCCAATCCGTTGTGACCGTTAAACGACCCCAACCCGTTATGACTGCCAGACTAGCTATTCAATTACTACACTAAGTCACTATAAATTGTAAACCCCACCAATACTTGGGGGGCATCAGACTTATTTGAGATAATTCTCTCTCCCTCTCTCAAAGCTTGTAATATTCTGCTCTCATTCCACACCGGGAGATAATAAAATACTGGCGACCCTTGCCATTCAAAGTGGACGTAAGTCACGTTGACCGAACCACTATAAACCTTGTTTTCTCTCTCCTTCTACTTATTTTATTACATTTTATACTATATACTTAAAAAGTGGTGTACAAACCAATTTGTGCATCATCAAATTCGGTAGTTAAAGATATATTAGGTCAACAATTCAACTCTAAAAAAACTTTCCTTTGGTTGCAGCTTATATGTTGTTTTTCTATGCTTTATGAATAGAATCCTATCATTTTGCATTCAATTTTTTACTTTAGTCTAATTTGTTAACTTAATTTTACTTTATTATTGAATTGATAGGAGACCCCACTATTAGTTGGGACCAGTTACCGATTTAGTACTTATAACACATTAGGTTAACAAATCAAGTTAAAATAACATTTTTCCAGGAAGTGACATATCGAGAAATTTCCTATTCCTATATAAAATACTTACAACACTGTTTACTTACTGATTACTCTCTATAATTTATTTCTTTTTATTTTCGTACTTTTTTTTTTAGCTTTTTTGTTTTACTTTTTGACACTTTCGTGAGTGATTGTATTGATTATATCGAAGTGCAAACGGTGTAACAACCGTTTAGAAAATGAAATTATAGTTAATCAACAAGGTCATTAATAAAGAAAGAACATGTAAAAGGGGGATCCACGGTCCACTCGTCGAACACAAATCTGGCCATTACTGCATTGTTATAAAGTATTGTACTTGTACAAACCACAATTCATTTATTTAGAGGGTAGCGCATTGCATCAATGCAGATTATACATGCATTATGAGGCAATGACTCAAAAGTCATCATCCTTATATAATGACCAAGTAGGTTGGAGTTCACACAGACTTGAATATTGTAGTCCCTGGACTTGATGAATAGTCTTTGCTTTTTAGTTCAAGCACTTTGCTACATATAAAAGATGAAGCAATGCTATGTCCATCATCAAATATTGAAATTTTGTGTTAATCTTATAATTATAATAAAATTATATCATTAAATTAACATATTAAATCAATTTATTTTGTCTAAATAATATTACGTGGTATGTACCGTTGCATGAAATATTTTCTCTTTCAGTAGTTGATAGCCGTTGCTTTCAGCCTTTCACCAGAGCAACCCTTTGTCACTCCTAAATGGATCATATATGTACTTCCTTCCTAGTTTGATTGTTTAGTACGGTGGTAATGCTATCGAATTAGAAACTATGACGTTATGAGTAAGGGTCTCAAATGTATCCAGTTAAACGGGTGACAGATGAAAAACATGTAAATTCGTACACGACACGTTTAATAAACGAATAAAAAATCTCAACACGAACACAACCTGTTTAATAAACGTGTAACACGACACAACTCGTTTAACTCATTTAATTTTAAAAAAAAATTATATCAATAAATTTTAATATACAACTTTTTTTACTATTAATTGTATTTACCTCAAAAAAGAGGAATTTCTAATCAAATTTCACGTAAAAATCATATTTGAAGCCTAAAAAATAAAAGCAAGAGACCACTATTTTTTATAGGCAAGGTAGCCCTCCCCATCTCCCCTCATTTGCCAACGTGGGATAAAAACAAAAAAAGTTGATTTGCCTTTGTTATGAACTGCTCTTATCTCCCCTCCTTTTTTCTTTAAACTACTATCTTACTTTTTTTTTCTGGTGTTGATTTTTGTACCTTTTTTTTTCTGGCTAATTTTTTAAAATAATTATTAATTTATTATTATATTAATTTTATTTAAACAAATAAACGTGTTTTCAACGAATTGACAGGTCTCACCCGAACATGACCCGTTTATTAAACGTGTCTGGCGGGTCAACCCGTTTACTACCTAAACCCGTTAACATTTTACCGAAATCCGTTTAATTCGTATCGATTAATCGTGTCGTGTCGAATTTTGACAGATTTAGTTATGAGCTTGATTTTGGGGGTAAGCACACTTTATGTACAAATAAAAAGGACAAAATTCTCAGTTGCTCGCAGGTAATGAAAGTTTCCACGGCTCTTCTGCATTCTCTTCCTCCTTGAACCCACCATTCTCTTGTCCGTCCCTATCTTTGCTTAATCCATCCATTCTTTGCCTAATCTACAGTTCCTGACCCATCTATTATCCTCATTCTTCATCAATTCATTTTCTGACCACTTGTTTCTAAAACCCTCTTCCATACCCATCTCTCTCTCTCTCTCTCCTCCTTAAACCTTCCACATTAAATCCTTCGCACCGACCTCTGAAACCATTGTAAAATCATAAATCCACCAGCCATAAATACGTAATCTAATCCATAGTCCAGATCTCCTATGAGTCCTCATAAGCTTAACACTATTGCGTATGAGAAAGCAATGAATACACAGCTCATGGCTGAGCATGAAGTGGAACGAAGCCAAGCCATTACTACAAAAGTGGTGCCAAATGAATCTTCCAGTAAGCCAGATAGTGTGGCGAGTAGAGCTCACGGCTATGTAGATGTAGCTCAAGTCTCTATTCCCCAACAAGTTGCTATCCCCAATGCATCAGAGCTATCAAAAAGTCAGCATAGTAAATTAATTTCAAGGGCTGAGACACAGCCAGAACATACCTCACTGCAGCAAGGTATTGACTGCCAAGCGCAGAAGCTCAACTCCGGAATCCCATCTTGGAGTCAGGTTCTTAAATCTGGTCTGGATGGAGAAGCTTCAAAGACCTTCAAGGGAACCCAAATTGCATGTATGAAACTCAAATACTATGAACCCCTAAAAGAGAATGAGAGGCTTGTGGTATCACCTCCGAAAGAGGTAGGAATGAAAGGAAGCTTTGAGTGGCAAAATTGCCTAGTTGGGTATTTTATTGAGAAGAAACTCCCATACTCCTCTGTCAATTTTCTTGCCCACAAAGTATGGGACAAAATGGGATTGTTAGAGGTTCTACCAAATGATAAAGGATTTTATTTTTTCAAGTTCATGAGCGAAGAGACTAGGACTGCTGTTTTTGAAGGGGACCTTGGTTGTTTGCGGGGAGGCCTCTAATCCTCAAGAGATGGTAGCCAAAAATAACCCTTGCCAAAGAAGATCACTCTATTATCCCGGTGTGGATTAAGCTATTCAATGTTCCCCTCCAATTCTGGAATGAAGAGGGGCTTAGCTATATTTCTAGTGCTATAGGTAAGCCACTGTACTCCAACACACTTACTACAGCTAGGAAAAGACTGAGCTTTGCTAGAGTGTGTGTGGAAATTCAAGCCAGAACCAAGCTTATTGACTCTGTTGATCTCAGGGTGGATGTTGATGGGAAAGATGAGAAGGTGGAAATACAAGTTGAATATTAGTGGAAGCCAAAAGTATGCCAAAGTTGCCATATATTCGTCCATAATGAGTCCACATGTCTTAAGATGGTGACTAAAACCATTTGGAAGCCCAAATATTCCCAAAAGGAATCTCAACCTCTTGCTGATGGCAATGGCGAGGAAAACATATCCAATGAGGTGGAACTAACAACAAAGATAGTCATGTCAAAAGAGAAGCCTCCATTAGATTCTGGAAGTAGCAGCAACAACGGAATTGATGCTACTAAACTTAGGCAGCCCATTCATAGACTACAGGATGAAACTCAGGTGACATTCATCTCACCTGTGGAAGTGCAGGTCCCAGTTTAGCTGTCTATACCTTCTACATCTTCAAACGGATTTGAGAGGTTGAAAATTGAGGGAGGTAATTTGGTGGTGGATTTAGACTATGTTGCAACCAACTGTGATCATACCCATGGGGAGGCAAATAAGCAACCTAGGGAGAATAAGAAGAAAAAAGCTAAGAAAAAGTCATCTAAGAAAAGGAAAGATAAAGGGACTGAGCCCTTCAAACTCAGGCTTTCTCCTCTCCTATGTTTAAGTTAGCCTGTTGGAATATAAGAGGACTTAACAAATCCTCTAAGCAGGAAGCAGTAAAGAAATTAGTTTTTGAAAGCCACCTTGGTTTAGTGGGGATTGTTGAAACCAAGGTGAGAAGTGTAAATATCTCAGCTGTTAGAAATAATATATTTAGACAATGGGAGTGTTTGGCAAACTACAATAGTCATACTTTTGGTAGGATTTGGATTGGGTGGAATCCAAACTCTGTCATGGGGACTAAGCTCTCAAAAACTGATCAAGTAGTGCACTGTGAGGTGGTACATTTGGACACTGCAACTAAATTTTGTGTATCCTTTGTATATGGCTCAAATGAGTAAAATGAGAGGAGGGACTTGTGGAGAAATCTTGATTACCATGCCAGTCTTTTTAAATCCTACACTTGGTTAGTTATTGGGGATTTTAACGCTATAAGAAGCTGCAATGAGAATCATGGTGGACTGAACAGATGGGTACAAACTATGGGGGATTTTGATGATTTTGTTCAAGAAGCTGAGCTTGTTGATTTGAGGTACTTAGGGCTATTCTTCAATTGGAGCAGTAGAAGAGAAGAAGGTGCTTGTGTTTCCAAGAAACTTGATAGAGCCCTTGTAAATGAGGCTTGGATTCAAAAATTTGACAGATCTGAAGCTGAATTCTTACCCCCAGGAGTATCTGATCATAGTCCTACATTGGTGAAGATTGGAGAGGAGGCGAATGGAAGAAGTGCCCTTTTAAGTTCTTTAATTTTTGGGCCGACAGAGAAGAGTTTCTGCACATTTTCACCCAGGTATGGAAGGAACCTATTCAAGGATCTAACCAATTCAAAATTTGCTTTAAACTTAAGAAACTAAAAGTTGTGTTTAAAGAAAAGAGCAGGAAAATTGGTGAGCTAGCTACCTTTGTTAGAGAAAAGAAAGCTTTGCTTGATAACTGCCAAAGGAGACTTGACCTTAACCCTTCAGATTCAGCACTCAGACAGGAGGAGAAACTTTTACTCGATGATTACTTGGAGGCTACAAGGAACGAGGAAATTCTATATAAACAAAAATCCATAATATTATGGTGGAGTGAGGGAGATAAAAATGCTGCCTTTTTCTTTAAAACTATGAACTACAGAAGGAAGAAGAAGAAATTTTAAAACTAGAATCTGCTAATGGTAGAGTGGTGGATGGAGAGAAAGCAATTAAGGGTGAAGCTATTGACTATTTTCAAAGACTTTTAGGTACTACCAGCAACCTTACTCCTCCACTACAGAGAAGAGCATTATTAAGATCTTTGTCACTTAAGAAGGTCACTGAGTAGCAAGCAAATCATATGATCAGAGATATTAAAGATGAGGAAATCAAAGAGGTGTTGTTCTCCTTTAATAATATAAAGGCTCCTGGTCCTGATGGATTTACTACATTTTTCTACAAAAAGGCATGACCAGTGATTGCTAGGGACATGATAGCTGCAATGAAAGAATTTTTTAGATCTGGAAAATTACTTAAAAAGCTCAACTCTATTGTGATTGCCCTTGCCCCTAAAAGTCCAAATCCAAACTCAATGGAGGATTTCAGACCCATCTCATATTGTAACTTGTTGTATAAGGTCATCTATAAGATTCTGGCAAACAGAGTGAAGGTTGTGCTCCAAGGTATTGTTCAAGGAAGGAAAATTGGGGAGAATATTATGCTTACTCAGGAACTCCTTAGAGACTATCACAGAAATTGTGGTCCTCTCAGACGTGCTATTAAATTGGATATTATGAAAGCTTATATGACACATTGGATTGGCATTTTCTTTTGGAAGTCCTTGAAGCTTTCCATTTTCCAGAAACTGTGAGAAATTGGATAAGGGAATGTATTACTTCTCCTCGGTTCTCTATCAATATAAATGGGGAGATGGCAGGATTTTTTTCAAGCTCTACGGGACTTAGGCAGGGTGATTCCCTTTCACCTTACCTATTTGTTCTGGCCATGGAAGTTTTTTGTTCTGTCATATTGCAGCAAATTACCTCTAATCCTTATTTCAGGTTTCATTGGAGATGTAGGAAGATAACTCTTACTCACCTACTTTTTGCTGATGATGTCTTACTTTTGAGTCATGGAGATGCTCAGTCTATAAGAGTATTGAAAGCTGCGATTGACTAGTTTGAAATCCTCTATGGGCTTAGAGCTAATCCCTTGAAAAGCAATATATTCATGTCTGGGATGTCTGATGAGGCAAAAGGTTAGATTACTAATATTCTGGGATTCCAAATTGGTGCTTTACCTGTGAGATATTTGGGGATCCCCTTGGTGTCCACTATATTCAAGAGATAATATTGTGATGCTCTTATGGAAAAAATCGAGGCTAGGGTGAAAAGTTGGACCAACAAGTTTTTATCTTTTGTTAGAAGGCTTCAATTGATTACCTCTGTGCTCAATAGCACCCAAAATTTCTGATCAGCCCACATTTTTATTCCCCAACAAGTTCTCGATAAATTAGAAAAAATGCTTAGATCATTCCTCTAGAAGGGAACTGAACTCAAGCCTACTAGAGCCAAAGTGGCCTGGGTGGACATTTGCAGACCTAAGAAAGAAGGGGGAATGGGGATTAGAAGACTTAAAGAGACGACTCTTGCAATGATGATGAGGTATTTGTGGATTTTATTTACGGACAAAGAAAGTCTCTTGGCGAAATGGATTCATTCATACCATTTAAGAGGAAAAAGCATCTGGAAAGTTAAGCCACCTCACTCTTGCTCTTGGAATTAGCTGAACCTCTTGAAACTGAGACCAATGGTTAGATCTCTAATTCAACATGTTATTGGTAATGGAGAGAGTACTAGCCTTTGGTTGGATAATTGGCACCCTCATGGTCCTCTTCTACTTAGATGGAGTGATAATGTTATAGATCATGCAGGGTTACCTAAGGATGCTAATTTGGCTGCAATCGTGGGCAACAATAGGTGGGCATGGCCTTTCACAGGTACACCTGATCTCTTGGAGATTTCAAATCATATGCCTACATATATTCCTCTGACAAATAAGGAAGACCAGGTGAAATGGACTATAGCAACAAATGGGCAATTTTCTTCTTATTCTGCTTGGAATCACCTTAGGGCCGCTGGGCAAGAGGTATCTTGGCATCATCTGTTGTGGTATGGACAATGCATACCCAGGATGAGCTTCATTCTTTGGTTAGAAATAGAGGAAAGGCTAAGCACTAAAGATAGAATGCAAAAATTTGCGCTGGATGTTGATGTGACATGTATCCTATGTAGGCATGACATGGAATCTCATTCTCACCTCTTTTTTAGATGCCAGTTCTCACAAGATATTTGGATTTTTATGATGCAACTGTGTGGTGACCAAGTTCTACCGAGCTCTTGGCAGAATTTCATCGATTATGCAAGTCAAAGTTGGAAAGGTAAGTCACTTGGCAGGTGTTAAAGAAGTTGTGCTTGGCAACTACCATGTATATAATATGGAAGGAAAGGAATAGAAGACTCCATACAAACCAATTTAGGGATTGTAGAAGTCTTGTGAAGTGTGTCTTGCAAATCATCAACGATAGATTAGTCACAATCAAATTCAAGAGTTCCCCCCAAAACTTGTTACTCCTTCAAGCTTGGCAGCTTCTTGTTGTGGCTTAGGTTCAAATGATATAAGCTAGGGATGTCCTGTGATTGTGGATGAGGCTGGTTAGACTTGGATGCTGGTTCATGTGCTAGGTGCTCCCTTGGGGATGTTTTGTTGTCAGTGTTTTTATGTATGAATGATCAGCTTGTTTAATTTCTTGACATGTCTGAAGGTGTGACCTCAGTGATGAGACTCACCAATGGCAACATCACGGTCTATATCTTGGATCCTTCTGGAAAGGCTTTCTTTTTTCACTGCTCCTTGAATGCTACTTGCTTGCTCTGTTATGAGGAGTTCAACCTATGAGCATGAAAGGTACTTATGGCTCCACCATCCATTTGTTCTCCCATTTGGCTATTGGTTGTTGGCAAGTATGTTGGCATTGTGCTTTCCATTCGACTATAGGCAATGCCAGTGTGTTTATTCCTCTATTTTTTGAATGTGCAATCCCAAGTTGATGAAAGCCTCTTTGCTTTATTTGTTTCCTATTGAGTCTGGATTCTGCTGAAAGTACCAGCTCAAGGCTGGCACTTTCTTTAGAATTCTACACTCTTGGTTTGTTGTAAATCTTTTGGTTCTACTTTTGTACTGGGTGGATGCATTGTCATCTGAGCATCACCCTCTGTATTTCTCCTTCTTATGAATATAATTTACCTCCGTAAGATAAAAAAGACAGTTAGAAAATGGATGAAAATGCAAATGGTATAACAACTCTTTATGAAATAAAAATTGTAATTAATCAATAAGGTCATTAACAAAGTCAGTTTTCACATTGGGAAATTTATGTTAAATTATGGAAGTGTTGACAAATTCAATTGACACATGCATGCATGGTAAAAGAAACATGTTTTACCTAGCGTCTTGTCTTTTCCACACACATTGGTAAGAGTCGTGAAGGCGAACTGCAAAGCCTTGGCTCAAATCATGAGGATTTATCTTTTATGAATATCTTAATTTCGGCATGGATGATCAATTTTTGATAGGACTAAGAAGAAAATTAGTCAAAGTATGCTTAAATTGGTCTTGACACCTCTGACCGTTGAAAAATAAGGAATGCAAATTGCAAAAGAGTAATTTCGTGTGTCTCAAAGGTTTTTAGTGTACCTAAACAAAATATATATTTATGAGTAATGCTATTGAGATTTAATTTACTGATATAATTTG